GGCTGCTTTTCCCCTGTTGATGAGATGACATTCTGGCAAAATCTGATGTACGTCCAATTATGTGACAAATTCCTTCGGATAGGGTATAGAGTAAATAACCCATTGTTTTATTCATTTTATACCTGTTTCCATTAATGTAAGGAGCTCTGGTAGCATAGTGGTTACGAATCGGGCTGCGAACTACAAGGTTAGCAGTTCAAAACTACCAGCTGTTCCACAGGAGAAAGATGAGGCGTTCTGCTCCCGTAAAGATTTATAGCCTTGGAAACTGTACAGGCTCGCTATGAGTCAGAACCAACTTCACGGCACACCGCCATCACCACCACCATTAATGTATGTGTTGAAAAGTGATTTTTTTTTCTCATTTTGTCCTAATTTTATGTTCCATTAGCTTCTCTCTCTGTGAGGTTGCAGATTGTACCTGCTACTAGGTTAGGCTTCACCTGGTGGAATTAAAGGTTAGATACAGTCTTGCTGCTCAAGTCTGACATCACAGGATTACGTATTGCGTTGGGTGCAGATGGAGAGGCTCTACCACTAGGGATGTTTTCAGAGATAAAAGGGGCCTGTTTTGCAGGTGTCATCTCTCCGACCCTGGAACCTGTCGCTTAACTTAATGACATCAGCATTTTAAGATGGGCGCCCCTCTATAATGAAGGATACAGTTTGCATCTGAGAGTCAAGGGGAGATGTTGGGAAAAAAAAAAAAAACCAGCAAAAAGTCACACTTCCCACCATAAGCACAGGGTTGTTAATGAAAGCATCTTTGGAGCTCAGTGAGCCCAGAGATACATAAACACACAAAGGTGGAGTTTCCTACTTGATATTCTCCCGCAGTTGAGGAGGAGGGAAGGAATTGCTCCCCAGGGTTAACGTGGCAGTAAGCGAGGTCAGCTGTTTCCCAAGACAGAGCAGCCTCTGAATGTCTGACATTAACACTGGAATGATACAGCTGAAGCAGCCAAAGTGATTTACGGGAAACCCGGTGAAGTTGGCTTTGCTCGCAGTTTCTGATCTTGTGGACGCTTTAGTAGCAGTGGCAGCAGACAATATACCATTGTATAAAGCACCTCCTGAGAAAAGAATTCCTCACTGGCTCTAGTTAGATGTGCTTAATCTAAAAAGTGTTGGTGTTTATCTAGCTTGAACAGCATTGGCTGGAGTGTCCTAAATTTAGCAGGAAGTCGATGGTTCCATGGCAGAATTCCCGCCTTTCATATGGGAGACCTGGGATCAATTCCCTGCCAATGCACCTGCTGTGTAGCTACCACCTGTCTGTCAACCAAGGCTTTTATGTGTGATGCTGTACAGGTTTCCGCAGAGCGTTCAGATTAAGATAGACTAAGAAGAAATGCCTGGAGATCTACTGCTGATCATCAGTCTCTGATCACAAAGGCCTGATCTGCAGCCAATCTTGGACAGGGTTCAGGATGTGGCAGTAGTTTGTTTAGTTGTGCTTGACATTGTCAGGGGTGCTGAGCTAATTAATGGTGGTTAATAACAAGGAGTCCTGCTGCGGTGCTGTAAGATAAGCACTGGACTGCAAGGTTGATTTGAATCAAAAGGTCTGCAGTTCAAGCTCACCAGCCGTTCCTCAGAAACCCTATACAGGGTCGCTCTGAGTCGGAACTGACTCGACAGCACTTTAACAACAAGAAGTCCTAGTATGATGCCATAGGTTAAGCACTCAACCTCAAGGTCGGTTTGAGTCACAAAGTCAGTGGTTTAAATTCAACAGCCAACTCCTCAGAAACCCTGTATAGTGTTGCTGTGAGTTGGACCTGACTTGATGGCACTTAACAACAATAACAACAGGACCATAGCTTGACGATTGGGTAGGATGTCTACCCTTCTGGTTTGCTCTGACTTTAGGGATTTACCAAGATATAGGACTTTCAGTGTTGATACTGGGAAAGTTCTGAGACAATTGGGAAGATTGGTCACCTTGAGGTGTGTATAGTTGTGTGTATGTGTGTGTGTGATGGGGGAGGTGGAGGTATGGACCATGGAAGGGAGCTAATAAGATTTCTTTGTTTTTTAATAGAAGATTAGTAGATCTTCTTCATCAGGCCAACTGGTATAATTAAAATGCTGGTTTTGATATCAGCTTGAATGAACTGAGTCCTATCTCTACCATCTGTGAGTTGTCTGTACCCCCTAGCATCTTGCACACTGGTCTGAGAAAAGAGAATTTTTTAGGGAAGATGTCTTCTGTTGGAGTTATTTCCATTAAGATAAGGCTCAAAAAGAAGCCCCTGAGAACCTTATAGAAAATCAAAAGCCTTGCCTACCTACCTCTTCCTGATGAAACAGCACATAGCTAATTTTCTTTACCAATAACTTTTTTTTTGGCACCACTTTCAATTATTTTAAATAATGACAATGGTGGCGATTTGTGAATAGCATTGTAGCTCTCCTTTGTGTGTGTGCACTGACGACATAGGTATGAACCGTTTTCATGGCTCCCCTCATCTGCTTGCCTCTTTCCTTCCCTGATACCAGGTTAATTCTAAGATATCTGACTTTAAAAAACAAAAAACCTCTACTTTACTTCCAGAGTCCTCCTGTGGCACTGTAGGTTAAGCACAAGACTAGTGGTGGTTCAAAGATCGGTGGTTCAAACCCACCAGCTGCTCCTTGGAAACCCTATACAAGGTTACTATGAGTCAGAACTTACTCAAGGGCACTTCACACCTTTACTATCTGCTTCTTGGCATTGTGGTCTGTCATATTTCCTTAAATCTCATGCTGTTACATTGTTACAAATGCACACACCTATAACTCTATATCTATCTGATAAACATACACATAAAAAAGTAATTGTTAGAACACACAAATACCGAAACACTAACAGAAATGATCTTGGAATAATAGGATTATGGGTGTTGCATTTTGCTTTTATGCTTTTGTACATCTTCCTTTTATAATCAGAAAATATAAATTCCATTAAAGGATTTTCTTATGGGAAGGTACAAACACAATTGCCTTTCTCAATCATTTTAAGATGGCAGCAGAATACATGTGTTCTTGGTTGGGAAGGGAAGTTAAGATTATGTCACCCTTGTGACAAATCTGCATTAAGAAATTCTGTTATTGATACCAGTCATACTACAGAGACCTGCCTTCCCCCTGACTCCCACCAATGGAAAAGTCGTAAGTAGCAAAGGGAGAAATTCTCATCTTCATTCTTGTGTTCCACCCAATCCCCCCATCACAAACAATAAAGGGAAAGGTCTTCTAAGAAAAAAGGAACTGGGAGAAATTACCTGCCTAGAGTAGGAGAGGGGAGATTTGCATACAGAGGAGATGTCCTCCTGATCTGAATGGCCCAGGACCACCTTTCATCCTTTTGGAATCCAGATCTGTACTTACTGTTGATTAGTAAGATATGGACAAAAATCTACCTTAATGCTAAAACAGCTGCTGGGAGCTGCTCAGAATGAAAACCCGGGCTTTCCTGGGGAAATTACAGTATCTTTTGAGCGAGGCAGTGGAAAAGAAAGTCAAATGGATGAAAATGGCAGAGAAAAAAAAGACTGGTTCAAAAGTTGGAGGTCTGTGTTCTTTCTGAACCATAAAACAGGAAGCCTGTTTCTCTTGCACACCCTGCTTGCTTATAAATGAAATGTGAGCAGACTTTCAGTATTGCTTATGAAGTGCGAGACACTCTCCTATGTACTGTGGATAATACCAAACTATAGAAGCTATTGTCCTTCTCAAATGGCACTGTCGTAGCTACCCCACATTTCTACAGGGGATAAAAGGAAAGTACCGTAAGAAATCACGTACCAAAAATGTCGCGACCTGGACTGTTCATCATGATCAGTATTTCCAGAGTTGAGGTGTATTAACTCCAAATGAACATAGTTACTGAGGTAGGGAAGCATTTTAGTACACTTATATTCCAATGTTTTAAAACATATCAACAATCATGAATTATGTATCATGAGTTAAATGCTATAGAAAGTCATTCCTCAACTATTTTAGTGGTAGGCTCTATTTGGCAAAGTGTTGTTATTAAAACAAATTCCTTTGAACAGTGCCATTGTTCGAGCATTTCCAGTATTAGTTTTAGAAGAATCATCTGCAGATATAACATAAACTCACAGTTTCCCATCTCGTCACCTCTTTAGATATATTCTCTCAGCCCAGCCCTGACTGTTTTGGCACCATTGACTTGACTGCTATATTCACCTGTGAATCACCATCTGTATTTCTCAAAGCTTACCTCAAAGAGTACCTCTCTGAATCCCTTACTGGTCCTCCAACACTGCTTGTCGTTGGTGGCACAGTGAGTTATGTATCCACCAACCACTCTGCAGGAGAAGAAAGCTGATGCCTTCTGTTCCCGTAGAGATTTGCAGCCTCGGAAACCTTATACAGTGTCTTCATGAGTTGTGCACCTCAGCAGCACACAACAGCAAGCAGTGCTGGTATTAACCCCTACCTTAATGACATGAACCCTATCCATCCATCACTATGTATGCAAAGTCATAAAGTACAGAACCTTACATAGAACAGGATTTGGAATCCCAAAGACATAAACATGTAGAGCTAGGAAGGACCTTAGAAATCATTTGGGGGATCATCCTTCTTCTTGTTCAAAAGGAAAACCAAGGCCAGTGAGGTAAAGGTACTTTGCCAGGGCCAACAGCTAGTTGTTGCCAAAATCTATACTAGAGCTTGGGTCTTTTGACTGTAGGGCAGCTGTTATTCCATGATAGCACACACAATAACTGAATTAAAACATCTCTGAGAAGTATAACACATTACACAACTGGGAGGGTTAACATTATATCCAAAGGCTCACCGTCAAGTCCCAAACACATCTGAGGGTGGTGGGAATAATATCATCAGCAATAATAGCAGCCAATTTGATGAGTGCCCCATGTGCCAGGCACTGTACTGGGTCCTTGACACAAGTTGCATCATTGTCATTGTCATTGCTCAAAGGCCACCAGATCACAGAGGACTGACTTCTCTCCCTTTTTCCCTTCTAGGCTAATGGAGGTTGGCAGGATGCTACTACCCCTTCATCAGTGACCTCCCCTACAGAAGGCCCTGGCAGTGTTCACTCTGATACCTCCAACTGATCTCCCCGCAATCGCATCCCGGCTGACCCTGTGCCCCAGTCGGGGCAGGGGCAGGAGGGAGGGTTTCTCTCCCAACGCTGAAGCAGTCAGACTGGAGGTCGAAGCGATCAGCAAACACAATAAGAGTCTCCTTCTCTTCTCTTCTTTGGGATGCTATTTCAGCCAATCTGGACACTTCTTTATACTCTCTTCCCCACCCCCACCCCTTTTTTTTTTCTGGGTAGAAGCCACCCTTCCCCTGCCTCCAGCTCTCAGTCTGGTTTCAACATCTTCCCCACCCCTTTCCCTCTGTCCTAGACTTCCTGGGTCCCTGCCCTCTATTACATAACGGAAGGATATTTTCAACAATTAGAGAAATTTAAAGAGGAAAAACAATGATAAAGAAAATAATAAAAGTGTTTGTATGTTTTCATGCTGGTGGTTTGAGGAGCCAAATTTACCTCACTCGGATCCCTCCCTCCTAATGTTTAACAGGCAGCCCTTCTATGTTTCTCTTGTTATTCTCACTACCTCTTAGCAGAAATATGCCACGTTGCCCTACTCACTCCAGGCCTCCCTTCCCATCTTCTTCTTCATTCCCCGGGGACAATTCTGATTGGAACACTTCCCTTCTCTTCCTTCCTGGACCCAGTTATTCTTTGGGGACTGCCATAGCTGGGCTTTTTAAGCTGCCACAGTTTCTGGTTATGACTCTGCTAGGTTGATTCCCAGGCAGGAAGTCAGGCAGTAGGGGGAGGGCACGTGAACAGAAAGGACAGAATTCCCACAGGCTTCCTCATCCTACTACAACATCTCTTGCTTCCAGAGGTACAGCCATCTAACTCTTAAAAGCAACGTTCAGACCTTCCTGCAAAACCAGGTCAGAGTTAGCCATGGTAATGAATGCATTCCCAAGGAGTAAAAGGTTCTTTTCCTGAAACTTTTCATCCATCCTTTTACATGCACTCGAGCATGCTCACACACACATACATAGATGCACACATGCAGGCACATGCACACAGTCTTAAACTTCATTTTACCAAGATCATTCACAAGTCATATGCAAATAACGTGCATTAGTAGCCAGAGCACTCTGCATTGTGAACTCAATAGAAGATTGTCAACTCTGAGTGAAGGTCTTTGATACAAAGAAGTTATGTGTTGCTGGGACTTCCAGGACATACAGCTTAGCAACATCGCATACACAGGACAACACAGACAGGACCTGATCCTGATAAAGTTTAGGTTTCTAGTGTAAACTATTCCCCTGGCCACTGTTTCAGTGTCTAGAATAGATTTGGTTCTGTATCATAGGGACGACGTTGCATTGATTATCCAAAGTGTTATATATGACACCATGCTCTTGGCTCCTGACCTCTGGAGCCTGACTTCTGGAGGAGAGAGTTGCATAAGGACATGGCTCAGGCTTTGAAGACTTGAGGGTCATGGGGAAAGAGGAGGGTAAGGTTGTCACTGAAATCACCCGAGTTTTATTTCCTGGCATCATTTAAGAGAAAGGACAACTAGAAATTGAATTTCTAATGTCTTCTGAGCTTACACTCTTCATAGTGGACTCTGTCAGCAATTAACATGGCAGCTCTGTCCCTTGATTAAGTGGGAAGTGGCTAAATCTCTTGATGCCTGGACGTATTTATAAATGGGGATGTTTCTGCTTGGGTTATCAGGTTTATATAAAAGACTGAAGAAACGAATTTCATTTATACCCAATCTAGAAATGTTGAAGGAAGGAGAAGTAGTATCATAGAGATCAAATTATGGCCCGTAACATGTAGGGACAATTAATGGCTTTCATGTTCTAACTTCTAGCTCTCTTCAGCACCTTGATATCATCTTGATGATAGAGAAGGGTGATTGTTGGTTTCATGGTTTTGATTCATTTGGTTTCTTAAGATAGAGAAATGCGCTCCCCCCTCCGCCAACCACCAACACTGAAAAAACCACATAGGACCTGGTTCTGTACTTGAACCCAAAATGTGGCCTTGTAAGTACTTAGTTCCCTGTCACATTCACTCTGCTTGTGAGGCCTCCACGTAGAGGTACAGGACCATAGAAATTCCTCATGGTACTACAATAATGCATGGCAAGTGCTCCTGGCTTGTGTGTTGGGGAAGGAAGGAGAAGCAGAACTACTACATGACATACTCCAGGATATATGTATTTGAAGGAAATGCACAAAATAAATATTTGATGAGATGGGACTTAATGACTGAGAGCACTGGAAGGGTTGTGTCTGCTTAGCTTTGTCATCATCAGAAGGGAACTCTTAGCAAGAGCACATTTGTTACCACTATAGTGATTAGAAACTGGAAAGCTATATCTTAGTGGCAGAAAGAAATTGAAACTACCCCTTGCGTTTGGGTAAAATACAGAGAAAGACGCAAAGGGGTTTTCTTGGAAACAGGAAGGGGTGATACCAAATGGGGATCAGATGATGCATTTGAGATGAAATGATGAGAACGATCAGAACGATGCTCCATATGCACTCACTGAATAGTTTGCACTGCATGTCCCTGTTCACAGCATCTTCCCCACCCAGCACTTACTTCACTCAGACCTCCTTGTATCCAATGCCTTTTCCACAACCTCCCCTCCAAGTCCACTGTTACTTCCAACGTGGCAACCACTAGTTCACGCATGAGCATGCTGGCAGCAGAAGGATTAGGATGGAAACAGTCTGTCTCTGGAAATACAACTCCCTGGAAATTCACATCAAGTCAATCCTACAGACACCACAATGTGCCCAGGATACATACCTTCATTGTCTAATGGAAGTAGGAACGCTCCTCTTTTCCTGACAGCAAATTTTCTCTGAGAAATGGTACTAGACCTTGGATTTGCCCACCTTGTAACTCTTCATGATAGCTCCTCCTCTTTACCCCCCTAGTCCCTCCCCTGGCATGGAATTAGCTGTCTTGCAGTACTTCTGCCAGGTGGCACTTTCTTTGCATTGATTTTGTTTTACTGTGGTGATGGTTCTTTATTTGCCAGCTGCCTTTTTTCACACACATTTTTCCTCTCTTCTTCTTTTTAGTTTTCTGCCCAGAAAAAACCCGACTTCGATACCAAAAAAGATAAAACTACAGAAACTCAAATTAAAAAAAAAAAAAAACAAAAAAAACTTAAAAAAAAAACACTCAACAATTCTTTCAGCTTTATTAACATTTTCCATTGTTTCTTGCGACTTGTGTCTCGTTCTTTGTAGTATTGATGATGAACATTTGATAATGAATGTTCTTGTATATTCAGATAAAGAAGAAAAAAAACAAACCAAAAAAGCGGTCTGAATTTAATAGTGTTTATAATAAAAATTTTAAAAATGACCCTCATAGCACGCAAAACAGGACGGGGAATTTCCCCTCTTCTTTCTGTGACAATGCGCATCATTCCTGTATTCGTTTTTAACGCCAAACTACCTACATTCATCATTTCCCTCATTTTTCTTTTATTTTCTTGCATTTGTGAATTAGTTCAAGAATGCTAGAAAAGTGTCGAGTTGTGCACATCCATTTCCTGTTCACAATGTTTAAAAGTGACGGTAATTCATTTTGTAAACTTTAAAAAAAAAGGTTGGAATAGTGAGCATAATAGGTACAACCTAACAAGTTACTGTTTATTAACTTTGAGACCCAGAAATAAATTTTCTTTTCTTTCTTCTTCCTCTTAAAAATCCAAAAAAAAAAAAAAAAAAAAAAAATCATTATATTTTGTTTGTGTTATCTTTGGTTTGTTTATTTGGCGGGGAGGGGGGAGCGATTTTTTTTTAATTGTCAGAATTATGATCTTGCTGTTTTTATTCCTTAAATATGTGTATGAGGTGATGTGAAAAGATGAAATTGGTAGACTAAGTTCCCTTGTTCTCCTCCTTTGCTTCCGAATTCAGTTGACTTCAAAAATAAAGATAAAACCTGTGTTGAGGTTGTGTGACATGTCTGCATTTCCACAGAGCGAGACACTGATAAAAATAGTTGGAGACTTGGGTTCTCCTTTTGACTATTGAAAAATTCAGTAAGTCCGTCCAAAGGATTTTTCATACTGCAGGGAAGGTTTTAGCCTTTGTTGATTCTGAATATCACAAGGTGGTCTCTTTTCTGTCTTCCTGGTCCATAACAACATTCTGGTTGGCCTCTTCCAACCAGAGAGCATTTCCCACCCCACCCGACCCCCCAGATGATGGTGTGATGGGTACTACTGGCTAAGTAGACTAGATCTAGGGCAGAGTCCCAAGGCTCATCTGCCTGATTTGAGTCCTGATTTTGGATAGCGAGTTGGTGGGCATCGGCCAATCTCCAGGTAATTACTACAAGTTGGGCTGCTAACTTCAAGGTCAGCAGTTTGAAACTACCAGCTGTTCTGTGGGAGAAAGATGAGACTTTCTGCTCTTATAAAGATTTACAGCCTCAGAAATCCTCTACAGGGGTTGCTATGAGTTGGAACCAACATGGCACCAACCACCACAAGTCTTAATACTAAGAGTTTAAATGTTATTCGCTGGCAGTACACCTCTTATTCAGGTAGTTGCTTTAAAGCAAATTTGAAGATAGACTTATTTGGAGTGTTTTTATTAGTTATAGGGGGAAAAACCCACAATATTATCTGGAAGAAACATTCTTTTAAAAAAATAATCCATTACATTATGAAGGGCTCAGAAATCAGGCAGAGCCTAAGCAAAGAAAGAATGCAGAATTGTGGAGCAACTGTTTCGGAAGTGTCTCACCCAACATGAGTGCTCTTGTTTATAAGTCATAACAAAATAATGACGAGCTTTTCACATCACCTTTGGTTTCAATCCCTAGCTCAAAGCTTTCTGGAATTTTAAAATTTTTTGTAAAGATTTTTTTTGTTGTTCTTTTGTTAAAACAAATAAAACATTCAATGTTTTTCCCCCTTTCTCTCTTTATTACTTCCTTTCTTTCCTTTGGCTTCGAACAGTTTTTTAATTATTTTGAAATGTTTTCCTTTGGTTGTTGGTTTCATTTTTTTCCTCCCCACCCTCCCTCTCCTCTTATTATTCAGAGTATGAACCTGCAAAGCTCTGTTTTGGTTTTGAAAGTTTAAGCTTTTCTGCTTTTGTGAGAGCACAGGCTTCTGTCCCTTTTGATTCCAACTGAACCTTTGTGTTCTCTAATGATACTAACACGGTGTAGGTTTTACAGTCTCCTAATTTGTACTGGTAATGCTTATTCCAAATAAATAGTTTCTTTTGTTGCAAAAAAAAAAAAAAAAATGAATATACTTGTATTTTGTGTAAGTTTCTTCTTTACTTGCTGACAACTTGTCTTCCACCACCTAGGACTGAGTAAGTTTGAACGATGACCCTAATCAGTTTCAGTCTACATACCACGTCAGGAGTCACCTACATCATCATCACCCATGAAAGAAGGAGAGGGAGTGAGGGAAAGAGGATCTCTCTTG